CTACGGTTTGGATGAAAGAAAAGCTCTTGATTGCAGCCCCTACCAGAGTGTAACAGCTGTGAAAATAATAATTCTTTCTCTGAAAATAGCAGCAGTGGCTACGTCTTGGTGCATGTTTCTCAATGTTTCCCCATGTGAGCTGTGTCATATAATATAACTAGACTGTTTTGAGGAATGAGAAAGATGATACCTGTCATCAAAGATTTGTTCACTTTAGGCAAATATTCACCAGTTATTTGGCTGCGAATTTTGAGGGTTTATATTTCAAGGTCAAGGTTACAATCCTATATAGATATATCAAGAAACACAGTATCTTTTTGGTGTTTAATAATTCCAGCTAGGCTTGCATTATACTCTAAGACAGTTAGGAGCCATCAAATTGAGTCTTACTTTTATGTTAAATGTTTTTGTCCTGACCTATCTGAATTATGAGGATATTCCTCTAATCTCTTTCATCCTATCCATTGCTTTCCCTTTCTTCTACCCTGTTTCCCCGAAAATAGGACATGTCCCGAAAATAAGGCCAAGCCTGATGTCCCTTAATCTTGCCAAGTGTTACAAATTTGATAGCTTAGCAATCATCTGGCCAAAACATGTGAGTTTCTGCTTCCTGGTGATCACTTCTTTAATTATCAAAGACTGATTGATTGTATCTTCTTTCATTCATTCTTAGTATCCAGGTTTGGCACTGCTTTGCCTGTTGCTTATTCATTTGGTATTTATTTTTCAGGGTACAATCTTTTCTTCTTTGTAAGATCTAAATTTCTAATTGCATTACATCCCTACTCTGAACACCGTATTAAGAAAGAAGTTTTCACCATGTATATGTATACATTCGAACTAAATTGTGATGTTTCTCTGTGCCATATATGTGTGTGTGCTTGGGTGTATAGCATAATGGTTATTGTTTGAGAGCTGAATGAAACAAAATTGATGCTGATTAGTGTACATTTAAAGTGACAATAAAATTCTGTTCTGTTCTGTTCTGTTCTGTTCTTCCCATTGAACCACTCCCTTCTGCAACATTGAGGACAATTCAGACTTACTTTTTTGATGTGTTACATAGAGCAGTGGCCCCCAACCTTTTGGGAACCAGGGACCGGTTCCGTGGAGAAAGGTTGGAGAAAGGAGGGAGTGTGGTTTTGTGTGCTGCCTGCATCCTGTGGATGGAACTTCGTTTGTTTGCTCTGATTGTTGGCATGCCGCGGACCGGTGCTGATCCACAGAGTGGGGTTGGGAACCCCTGACATAAGAGTGTAGCTAGATAATTCAGGTGAAGCATTTTGAGAACCTCAAAGCATTTGCAAACGTAATGTATTATTGCTGCTACTGTGATTTAAAAATACTACAAGCACATACATGTAGTAGATATAAGGGTCTCCAAACTTGGCAACTTTAAGACTTGTGGACTTCAACTCCCAGAATTCCTCAGCCATACTTTACTAATTATGGGTACACTGAAAAACAACAACATGCTGTACTCTCCTCTCAGTAAAATGCATTGAAATGCTTAACAATCTATTAAGCAACTGCCTTTAGCACAACTGCTCTTATAGCAGCTCAAAATTCCAAAGTTCTACTAGTTCTATTTATCCTCCTTAAATTTAGTTGAATGCCCTTGAAGTGATGTCCCAGTGCCTGGAGGCTGTGCGGATCTGGATGGGGAGGAACAGGCTCAGGCTCAACCCTTCCAAGACTGAGTGGCTGTGGCTCCCGGCATCCCGATATAGTCAGTTGACTCCATCACTGACTATTGGGGGCGAGTCTTTGGCCCCCACTGAAAGGGCTCGCAATCTGGGAGTCCTCCTGGATAGGCAGCTGTCTTTGGAGGAACATCTGACGGCTGTTACCAGGGGGACCTTTTATCAGGTTCGCCTGATTCGCCAGTTGCGGCCCTTTCTTGATCGGGATTCCCTGTGCACAGTCACTCATGCCCTCGTCACCTCTCGCCTTGACTACTGTAACGCTCTCTACATGGGGCTCCCCTTGAAGAGCACCCGGAGGCTCCAGCTGGTCCAGAATGCAGCAGCGCGGGTAGTGATGGGAGCAACATGGCGCTCCCATGTAACACCACTCCTGCGCGAGCTGCACTGGCTCCCGGTGGTCTTCCGGGTGCGCTTCAAGGTGTTGGTTATCACCTTTAAAGCGCTCCATGGCATAGGGCCTAGCTATCTCCGAGACCGCCTACTGCTACCGATGACCTCCCATCGACCCGTGCGCTCCCACAGAGAGGGCCTCCTCAGGGTGCCATCAGCCAAACAATGCAGGCTGGTGGCCCCCAGGGGGAGGGCTTTCTCTGTGGGGGCTCCCACCCTCTGGAATCAGTTGCCCCCGGAGATAAGAAGAATCCAGGACCTCAATGCCTTCCGTCGTTCCCTGAAAACCTATCTTTTCCAGCAAGCCGGGTTGGCTTAAGAAGAAATTTTAAAACTTTTAAATCCTTTTAATTAGTCTGTGATTTTTAATTTTTTGGGCCAAATTTTATATATATTTTTAAATGTTTTAATATTTGTATTCTATGTTTTTTATCTTGGCTGTACACCGCCCTGAGTCCTCAGGGAGAAGGGCGGTATATAAATTCGAAATTAAATTAAATTAAATTAAATTAAAATTAAATTAGTTAGGCTGAGAAATTATTTGGGCTGAGCAACAGTTGAAAATAATGGAAAAATGGATGTTACATTTTGTGTGGTAATGTATTAGCAATACAGAAGGGACCTTGGAGGTCATCTAGTCCAACCCCGTTCACGCAGGAAATCTGTACTAGGGATTCGAACTGCCGACCTTTCTGATCGACAAGCTCAGTGTCTTAGCCAATGAGCCACCTAGTCAGCACATAGCTAAAGGTGGCTAACCCTCCTAGTTTCTTGCCTGGTGTCTTAACTACTAGACCAGACCTCTACATGGTTGCTATCTCATGTAATACTTAATGGAGTTTTACTGACCAGAACTGAATCACAAGATTTTATTAATTTTCTATAGATAAGAGATGGGAAGATGATCATTTGTTGTCCTTTAAGAAAAGGTAATACAGGTAGTCTTCAACTTACGACCACAATTGAGCCCAAAAGTTCCGTTGCTAAGCAAGGCAGTGATTAAACGAGTTTTGCCCCATTTTATGATATTCGTGCTACATTTGTTAAGTGAATCATTGTAGTTGTTAAGTAGATTATGTGGTCATTAAGCAAATCTGGCTTCTCCCTCCTATTGACTTTGCTTGTCAAAAACCAGCTAAGGAGGTTACAAATGATGACATGATCCCAGGACAATGCAACTGCTCTAAATACATGCCAGTTGTCAAGCGCCCAAATTTTGATTACATGACCATAGAAATGCTGCAACGATCTTAAGTGTGAAAAACAGTCATAAGTCATTTTTTTTTCAGTGCCACTGTAACTTTGAACAGTCACTAACTAAGTGGTTGTAAGTCAAAGACTATCTGTAAATTACTAACTTTGTTTATACTTGTTGTGATGAAAGGGTAAGTTATTTCCTTATATATTTCTTTTCTTTTTCTTTACTATATTCTTGTATCTTATTCCTTTCCTATTTCTTCTTTTTTGCACTAGTTTTCTTTTATTTGTTAATTTTTTCTTTGTACTAGTTTTTATCTTTTTTAATTACAGGTAGTCCTCGACTTAGGACCACAATTGAGCCCAAAAATTCTTGATAAGTGAGACATTTGTTAAGTGAGTTTTGCCCCCATTTTACGACCTTTACGACAGTTGTTAAGCGAATCACTGCAGTTGATAAATTAGTAATCTGGTTGTTAAGTGAATCTGGCTTCCCCATTGATTTTGCTTGTCAAAAGGTTGCAAAAGGGGATCACACGACCTTGGGACATAGCAACGGTCATAAGTATGAGTCAATTGCCAAGTATCTGAATTTTGATCACATGAGCACAGGGATGCCACAAAGGTCATAACTGTGAAAATGGTCATAAGTCACTTATTTCAGTTCTGTGATAACTTTGGATGGTCACTATACAAACTGTTGTAATTTGAGGACTACCTGTGTATAATGTTTAATAAAATTATTAGGAACAAATAACAAACGTATAGTGAAAATAAATGAGGTTGCACATCAATAAAGTTCAAAATAATGAATGAATGATTTCCTTTAAAAAATGACTGGAATCACACACTACACTTAGCCAATATATTATTCATTGAATGCTGTGCCCAACTGTGGCACATTCATACATCGTATCAACCATAAAATAATTGGTTCATTCAATGTTCTTATCCTTATCCAAAACCAAATGAGCTGAGGATCAAGAGGGTTACAAAGACTGTTTCTATCATTGATCCTAATATCTAACCTTGAATTACTGTAGTTTCGTCCATTCACTCTAATTCTCTGAGATGACAGAGAAAAAGCCTACAGCTTCTTCTATATAACAATGTTTTATGTATCTGAATTCTGAAGTCTCTTCTTCTACATATTAAATACACTCAGTTCATTTTGTTGTATCTCACAGGACTTGGCTTCCACTCTCCTTACCAACTTTTCTTAGCCCTTCACTGAACTCATTCCTGCCGCCCTTTTTAGACTGCACACTACAAGTAATCCTCAATTTACAGACATAACTGAGCTGATGGTCATTAAGGGGCTCACCCCTTGACCAGGCCAAATTTGACAAGCATTTTTGTGATGGTTGTTAAGTGAACATGTCAATCATAAAGCAAGTATGGTGGCCGTAAACAAATGCCACAGTCATTAAGCAAACCTCTTGTTTCCTTTGGATGCTTTTTTCCTTGAAAGTGGAAGCAAACACCAGTTTCCAGCAAAAGCATTGTTGTATCATAGAACTGTAGAATTCTGGAAACTGACATAAATGAGGGCTGCTGGCAAGAGGCCACAATCAGACACGTGGCCGAGGCAGGGGGCGGTTATTGTAATTTGAAATCTGGGTCTTAAATAGCTTTTTTTTGGGGGGGGGTTGGGGTTCATCATAGTCACTAAGCATCTGGTCATAAGTCAAGGACCACCTGTAGAGGGCACAGTATAGGTAATCCTTGATTTACAACCACAATTGAGCTCAACACTTCTGTTGATAAGCAAGCTATTGGTTAAGTGAGTTTTGCCTCATTTTACGACCTTTCTTGCCATAGTTGTTAAGTGAATCGCTGCAGTTGTTAAGCTAGTAACATGGTCGGTAACCGAATCCAGCTTCCCCATTGAGTTTGCTTGTCAGAAAAGTCGCAAAAGAGAATCACATGACCCCAGGACACTGCAACTGTCATAAATATGAGCCAGTTGCCAAGCATCTGAATTTTGATCATTTGACCAGGAGGATACTGTAATGGTCATCTTTGGATACTGTAAGTCAATTTTCTCCGTGCTGTTGTAACTTTGAGTGATCACTAAATGAATCATTGTAAGCCAAGGACCACCTATATTACAAGTCCTCAACAAAGACAGAATAGAATGGGACAATTTCCTGCTGTAATCTAGATCCTATGCTCCTATTAATATACTACATCCCAAAATAGCATTTAAGCTGGTAGCAGCTGAATCGGTGTCTGACTCTTCTCAATTTCTCTTCCTTTAGATATAATGAATTCAAGGACAGCAAGGTTACTTCCTCCCAAGGTTCCAGTCACCTTTGCCCTTTTGGCCTATTTTGTCCAGTGCTGTGGCCTGTCGGCCGCCGGCCCCTCCAGCAACCAAATCAGATGAGGAGACAGCATGGGAGTCAGGATCAGCATCAAGGCAACCTAAGAGTTCCAAGGGGGAAGAAGGAATGGAACTGTCAGAGAGAGAGAGAGAGGCAGAGCCTGGGTCATCCGTCAGCCCTCAGATGGAAAGTCAACAGCCCCCAGGTCTGGAGATGGCTGATGAGGAAGAGGAGGAACAGCTGGGTCCAGTGCCTAACGCGCAGAAGGCAGAGGAGAGGAGAGCAGTGGAAATCTTTGGGCCGATCCTTGGGACAGAAGAGCCACCACTGCTAGCAAAGCCCCACCCTAGTTCTGGGGATAAAAGACGGGGGTGGAGATGAATTGATGTGGCAGACAACTATTCATTTCCCTGCTGGACAGACTTGTTAGCCTGCTGTGAGAGAGAGACTTTTTGCACTGCTGACGTTCCTAATAAAGGAATCGTTGATTGATTACAGAGGGTTTGTCATGTTTAGGGAGCTGGATCAGAACATCCTGTTAGTAGGGCTTAAGTCCTGAATAGCAGAAGCCCTCTTAGTTTTCCCACAATCTGACAAACAAAATTGTCAGCAAGAGAGAGAGGACAAGAATTTGTCGGCCCTCTGATTCCCACAACAGTCTGGGATGCTCAACAGTCTTTAGCTTTCAGTTTTTAAAAATATTACCTTGCTGATAAGCACTGCTATTTGAAAACAGAATAATGAAAAAATGTGTTAAAACCAGTGTGGTATAGTAATTAAGGCACTGGATTTGGAAGATCCAAAATTCCATTCTCAGCTCAACTACCTTGCTGTTGTGGAGAAAAACAAGAAGAGGAATTTTCTACATAAAGCCTTATGCTCCTGAACAAAAAGAGTGGGATATAAACCAAATAAATAACAATCAAAGTTTAAAAACAATAAGCAAAAAAATTACAAGTTATAATTACATATACTTGGACTTCCCCATCTGATTTTAATGAATGACATGGCTGGTATTAGGACAGCTAACGTTTTAAGTTGGGCAAAACTTGGACACAATTTCTTATAAACTAAATTACTTTTTACCTCACTTGTATACTGTAACAGTACAGGCCCCATTGAGAAAAACTACAGTATAAAAATAATTGCATTTATAAAATAAATATAATGCTTTATACTGTAATAGCAGACACTGAAGTTAAGATCCAGATAGGTTTATACGGATGCCATCAAACCTTCAAATCCCAATGTCTCAAATTGCTTAGGCCTTTAAAGGAGATCACCAGCACTTTAAACTGAATTTAGAAGCAAAGTGGCAGTTACTGCAGCTGATATGAAATAGTTGTTCATGCTTTGATCATTTTCCTTTGCCATAAGCATCCAGGCTGCTGAATTCTGCACCTGTTGAACATACCAACCTATCTTTAAAGACAGGCCTACATGAAGCACATGAGAAGCATAAGAGTCTACTCTAGAGGGAAGCAAATGTGTGAATGTCACAAACTTTTTCCACTAGATGGGATCACAGCTGGCAAACTAAACAAGCTCATAAAAAGCATGTCTATTTACCTAAGCTGTTATTTTGTCTCACTATTTCTGGTTATTTTGACTGCTTTTTAAAAAGCAAACCAAAACTGTATTTTAGTTCTCTTATAAAAGGAAGCAAAGCCAATACAGGTAGTCCTCAACTTACCACCATAATTGAGCCCAAAATTCATGTTGCTAAGACATTTGTTAAGTGAGTTTTGCCACATTTTATGACTTTTCTTGCAAACTGTTGTTAAGTGAATCATTGCAGTTGTTAAGTTAGTAATCTGGTTGTTATGTGAATTCCCCATTGACTTGCTTGCCAGAGGGTTGCAAAAGGGAATCACATCCCCCTGGAATACTGTAATTATCATAAATATGAACCAGTTGCCAGGCATCCAAATTTTGATGACGTGACCATGGGATGTTGCAATGGTTATAAGTGTGAAAAATGATCATGTCACTTTTTTCACTGCCATAACTTTGAATGGTCACTAAATGAACTGTTGTAAATCGAGGACTGCCCGTACTTAAAAGCCAAATAACTAACAGTCCTTCCACACAAAAGTATCAATCGAAATGTATTGTGCAGCTATTTCATCATTGTTTATCAGAAGTTTGAGATAAAATTAAACTGTCAATATGATTAAATAAATTAATTAATGTAAATAAAACAGTGAAAGAAGGGTCCAGCCATTCCATATATCGCACAGATGATTGGCTGATTTCACAATAAAAGTTTTATGTAAAAGCACCTTCTTTAAGGAAGTCTCTTTCAAGTTGATCTTGATTCCTGATGACATGACATAGAAAATTGCTTTCACCCTCCCAGGTTAGATTTTTATCACCAACATGAAAAATACTAAGTTGTTTACTCATTACAGAAACAAAGGGAACAGTGATCAGTGAGAATTAAATATCAACAGCCAAATAAAGATAAACTTAATTAATTTGGATTTGTTGGGTTTTTTTAATGAAGCATTGGTAGCACAGCAAATATTTATGACTAGGCAATTTCCTACTATGCCATAAATTGTTTTAACACTGGTTGGTTGAATAAACCTGGCTCCCTACCGTTAAGCTATAAAACTTAGTTCACACACAATGTTCACAGAAAATAATTTGACCTTAATATGATGCCTGTAAGTATTAAAGGTATTTTAACACCTTTATGCAAAGCAGTCCTTCTGAAATACGATGAAATAATTGTTGGCAAACACGTCCTCCCTTTCCCACTTTAGCTTTCTAATTCTGAAATCAGCAAAATATATTTTACATTTAGAGCAGTATTTCTCAGCCTTGGCTACTTTTAAAGACAGGTAGACTTCAACAATTCTCCAGCCAACATCCCAGGGAATCCTGGGAGTTGAAATCCACGTCTTTTAAAAGTTGCCATGGTAGAGAAACGCAAATTGGGCAGCCAGATTCATCGGGTCATCACAGTGTGGTACTGACGTCCACAAAATGAGGGTTGAACGAGGCTACGAATAGTTTTGCACGGTTAGGCTTAATGTCGGAACTAGCCCCGAAGAGCAGAGCCGTGTCACAAAGCGCGCCCTTTTAAGTTGCTCTCATAGTCCACCACCAAATTGGGCGTCTCTCATGCCGGGCGGGGAGAGCTCCGTTTAAAGTGGGGACTTTTTTTTCCCGCCTTCAAGCCGAGCGCCAGGCGAACTCTCCGGGATGCTCCGTCCTTGCAGAAACGCAACACCGAAACCGCCGCTAAGGAGGTCCTACTAAGCGGAGGCTGCAAGCCCGGGACTCCCCCACTCCCCGATAAAATAAAATAAAATCTCACCCCAGCAAACTCCTCAACTCCTCCATTCGGCGCTCGCCGCCAATCATCATTGAAAGGAAGGGCCCTAAAACCACATCGGTGCTCTCCTCGGCAAACTCGGGGAGAGCCACACGGCTCCCCTTCTAAATTCCCCAGAACTCCGCGGGGAGGAGGAAAAAAATGTTGTTCGCCAGCCAGGGCTGACCCAGAAGGAGGCGACGGGCCGCGCTTAACAACGCCTCGCTGGGCGGGAAAAAAGAACAAAAAACATATATCTGAGAACATGAGAGGGTGTGGGAGGAAAGATTAAGGCTATATGGCAAGGGTTTGTTTTCCCTCCACCCCTCCGGGAGGAAGAATCAACCTGAAGTCTCCATTCCCAGGATGCCCAAATCTTTGTTCATCAAAATAAATAAATAAATTTTTGGGGAGGCAATATATACTGCTCAAAAAAATAAAAGGAACACAAGCAGAAGACATCCGAGATCTGAATGAATGAAATAGCCTTATTAAATACTTTGTTCTTTACATACAGTAGTTTATACACTGCTCAAACAACTAAAGGGAACACAAAACTACTGTATGTAATGAATAAAGTATTTAATAAGGCTATTTCTTTCATTCAGATCTCGGATGTCTTCTGCTTGTGTTCCCTTTATTTTTTTGAGCAGTGTAGTTGGCTTGGAAAGGAAGAGGAGCCATTCCTGTAAAAAAAAAATTAGAAGCAAATGCTAATCCACTTTCATTTATTTTATTGTTGGACCGGTGAAATGCAGAAGAGAAAAAGAAAGGAAACAAGATAAAACAATGCTTAATAGGTGTAAATTATAGTTTAATGGTGTGGTAAGGCTAGGGACTGGGACAATTTTTTTGCCTTAGGCATCAAGCTAGCTCAGTGACTTGGGGCAGGCCCTCTTTCTCCGCCTTAGGAAGCAGGCAAGGGCATACCACTTCCCTAAAATCTGCAATCCTGGCACTCACTGGGAGTCAAAAGTGACTCAAAAATGCGCATGCACACGCTGTGCGCGCACACACAAAAGATTAAAAGTGCTTAAAAGTTGTGGTACTAACACATTTTCTGCTTCATGTCCCCAACTGCTGAGCTCCTGTTTGGGTAGGTACACTGTACCTATAGATTTTGCTCTGTGACTGTAATAAAAATTGATCTATACGTTCTGGTAGAGAGAAGTTCCCTGAGGATGGGCTCCAGCACAAGTCCGAAAACTCAAAAGACTAAACCTCTGGTCCTGGTGATGGAGCCAGATTGGATCCTGTAAATGATTGATTGATTGTACCCTACACATTATTGCTGGTTTCTATTTTAGCCCTAGAAATCACATTCCAAATGTCTAATTTTCCCTTGCTTTGTAATGTGTTCTGTACAAGACAGCAATTGCTGTTTGAATTTGATTAAACTTCTAAGATGGATATGTATTTTCAATTTTGCTGTTGCAGCGTATTCTTCAATGTTAGTCTCCCAATCTAATATTGTCCGCAAGGTTTCTTTTCTTCAGGGTTGTGCCAACCTTGTTCTTGAAACTGTCAACTGCTTGCTTCTGTGGACACAAGTATGATGAACACCTTAATGCTGGACTTCTTAACCTCCCATCCAATAACAATTATTTAGGAATAAGCTTTTCTGAATAGCAACGGTAGATATTCAGTTACTTTGCTGCAATATAGTTCATTATTCGCAAAACAAGAATCTTGTGGCATCCTGCAACTGATAAAATCAGTTCATATTTTATTAGTGCCTCCATCCACAATGTATTCTCAATGGAGAGTTTGTTCACTCCCAAATCCCCACAGGCCTAATACGATTACTTTGGTTTTGGATTAGCATAAACAACTATGTAATAGTATATGGGAAATATTATAATGAGTATATTTGGTGTATTCTTGCAGTTTAAAAATGCTCACACATGACTCTTGGGAGGCAGAGGAACCACACAACTTGCAACTGACAGCCCAATCAAACAATGTTCAAATCCTGAATTAGGAAAACCCAGGTCAAGCCCCATGCAACCATGAAGTGTGGAAGAGGTTCAGGGTAAGTCACATTTTAGTATCTCTTAGGATACATTTAGTAGATTAGAAAGTTATAGCTTTAATTTGGCAAGATTCTGTCCCTTAGGTGTAAGCTAATAAAAGATTGAACTCGATTGGATTTCGCTGTGTTGTCTGTGGGC